CTGGAAACTGAAGCGTAGAGCATACTCGAACCTGTCGCCCTCTGGAGATTGACATACGACGCCTGCTCCACAACCGTTTGAAGTAGAGCTTCCGTCCACATATACCTTCCAGACTTGGTCTGGAACTTGAGAGTCAGGAGGACGAGTCATCTCTACAATAAAGTCAGCAAAGGCTTGCCCCTTCACTGCTTTTCTAGGCTCGAAAGTAACTTCGAGACTCTGCATTTCTATGGCCCATTTGATCATTCGTCCGGAGGACTCCATGGTGGTAAGGGGCCGTTTGATCGGTTGGTCGGTATACACGACGACTGCATGTGCCAGAAAGTAGGGCTTCAATTTTTTAACAGCCATGAAGAGTGCAAGACCAAATTTCTCCACTAGGGGATACCTCAACTCGGCATTTCTCAGTACGTGACTGACAAAGTAGACCGGAAGTTGACAGCCGTCCCTTTCAGCAAGGAGCACCGCGCTTAACGCATGATCAGAGACGGCCAGGTACATGTAGAGATTTTCTTTGGGCAAAGGGCTGACCAGCCTTGGCAAGGAATGCAAGTGAACCTTTAATTTCTGGAAGGCGGCCTCAGCATCCGGCCCCCATTCAAACCTTGCCTTTTTCTTAATTGCCTGGAAAAAGTATAGGCATTTGTCGCCTGATCGGCTTAGAAATCTTCCCAAGGCCGCCAGACAACCTGTTAACTTCTGAACCTCTCGGACGGTACGAGGCGACTGCATGTCAATGACCGCCTGTACCTTCTCAGGGTTCGCCTCTATTCCTCTCTGGTTGATAAGGAATCCGAGAAATTTCCCAGACTCAACTCCAAATACACATTTCTTGGGATTGAGCATGACATGGTGCCGCCTGAGTGTGGCGAAAGTTTCTCGGAGGTCCGTCAGATGATCTTTCTGAAGTTTAGTCTTAACAATCATATCATCAATGTATGCCTCGACGTTTCTCCCAATCTGATCAAAGAACACTGTGTTTATCATTCGTTGGAATGTAGCCGGGGCATTCTTAAGACCAAACGGCATGACCGTATAACAGTATAATCCCTGATCAGTGACGAAGGCCGTCTTCTCTTGATCTTTCTTCCACAAAGGAATTTGATGAAAACCAGAATAGGCGTCCATAAAACTCATCAAGGCATGGCCGGCTGTTGAGTCGACCAGGTTATCAATTTTGGGCAGAGGGTAACTGTCTTTGGGGCACGCCTTGTTCAAGTCTGTGTAGTCTACACACATTCGCCAGGTGCCATTCGGCTTTTTAACAAGTACCACATTTGCAACCCAATCTGGGAAGTAACATTGCCGAATGAACCCTGCATCAAGTAATTTTTTGACTTCGGCGGCGGCCGCCTGACCTCTTTCTTCACCATGGTTCCGCTTCTTTTGCCGTACCGGCTTCTTTTTCGGATCCACAGCGAGTTTGTGTACTGCCAGATCAGGACTAATGCCTGGCATTTCATGGACTTCAAATGCAAAGATGTCCTTGTATTCTTTCAACAGGTTGTGAAAGTCATCACCAAGGTTTCTCAGAGCAGTCGTCCCAACTTTGACTGTTCGGTCAGGGCGGGAGTCGTCTAATATCAGGTCCGTATGCTCACCAGCCGGCTGAGGGCGGAACTCATCCGGCCGGTCCTCTGCCAATGATTGCTATTTTCTTGCCTTTCTGGCGGACTCTGTCTGGGACGCCTTTCTTTTTCTGTCGCCTGTTTCTTGAACAGGCGCACTTTCCTTGACATTGTCAAGGTCTGTTTTTTCTCCACTTGACCCAGTGGCCTTAGCAGTGGGTTTGACATCCGAGAGATAGCACTCTCGGGCCGTCCTCTGATCTCCGCTTAGGGAGCCGACTGTTCCATTGTCCCTTTCAAACTTAAGCAGCATAAGTGACGGGATTATAACAGCCTTGGCACTATTCAGGGTTGGGCGACCCAGAATCATGTTGTAGGCAGAGAGTTCCTCTACAACTAGGAATCGGACTACCATGTGTCGTCCTTCCCCTTTTTCGCCCAGGCGGACGGGTAGATCAACTCGTCCCAGTGGGTGGACGACTCCTCCTCCAAACCCTATTAAAGGGTGGGAGGCCGGATGTATGCAGTCCGTCTGATATTTCAGTTTTGACAGACCTTTGCTGCTGATGAGATCTGAAGAGCTCCCAGTATCTATGAGGATTCGACCAACTCTCTGGTTGGCCACTTTACATTCAATAACGAGAGGGTCGTCATGCGGCCCCCTTATTCCTCCTAGATCCTCTTCAGTGATGACAATCTCAGGAAATGTATATTTGGACGGTCGTTCTTGGTGAACGGAATTTACATCTAACCGCCTTATATTATCTTTGTTGCCCCTAATAGTGGGGCCGCCTCCTGAGAAGCCGCCTGCAATGGTGTAGACGACTGCATCATCTGTATCGGAACTGTCGGCCTAATGATTCTTTTTGGCCGACTGCTTTTTTGAGGAAGTATTCCCCGTAGATTTCTTGACATAAGTGTCAAGATCACCTTGATCAGCCAAGCGGTCTAGGTACCGCATGAGACTAATGCAGTCGTTGGTGTGATGACCAATGTCATCATGATAAGCACAGATTTTGTCTTGGCTCCGGTTGCTCGCAGAACCCTTCATGGGGAGCGGTTTCTCAATTGAGAGCCGTCCCTTTATTTCTTTTAGGATAAACTGGTTATCCTTGTTAAACACATACTTTGGGGAGTATGGTTTGAATTCCTTTTTCTTCTTGGCCGGCTGTTTAGAGGAATCAGCCGCCCAGACCCCTTTTCTTTTTTCATCTTTGTTGGACGACTGTTTCTGTCGTCCTTCTCTATTGTCGAACCTCTTCCCGTCCGACTGTTTCATTGTACACAGATCAGTTGCCTGTATATAGGCTTCTGCTTCAATCAAGGCCTCTTGAAGAGTCGCCACCCTTTTTCGAACTAAATCAAATTTGAAGGTAGACCCGTCTTTGAGACCTCTAAAAAAGTCAGTATAAGCTACCTCATCCGGTAACCCTTGAATCTGTATTCTCATCAGGTTGAACCGCCTGATGTAGGAACGAAGCCCCTCCTTTTCACCCTGCTGAATTGTTCCCAAATCAAGGGTCGTTTTCTTCGCAGGGATGTTCATTGCAAAGTTGGAGGCAAATAAGTAAGCAAGCGTCCTGAAACTGTTTACACAACCAGTCGGCAGGTTGCCGAACCATTGCTGTGCAATTCCCTTGAGAGTTGCTGGGAAACACTTGCACCAAGTGGGATCATCCAACCCTTGAAGGTACATCAGGTTGGTGAATGCCATCAGATGGTCTTCCGGGTTAGTAGTGCCATCATAGGCGCCTACTAAAACATTTTTTACTTTGGCCGGCTGAGCGGCTTCAGTAATTTCCTTGGAGAAGGCCGACGGCTGTTCACCAAGTCTAAGCAGCCGTAGCTGCCAGTCCATAGGTTGGACGTTTTTTGCTGCAGGTCCACCAAATGGAGGTGGCTGCATAAAATATTGTTGTTGCGGCACAAATGGCAAATTTGGTACCGCCTGCGCACTATGAAAGCCAGACTGACGGGAGGTGCCGCCTGACTGACTCTCATGGTACGACTGAGTTGGCCTCATCGAGGCATTTCGCAAACTGTCCTGAAAATTTGAAGTAGAAGCCGACTCTGATAATCGGTCACTCTTCTTCTGCTCTAGCAGGTGCCGAGCATCTGTGAACGTTTGCTTTGACCCGTCCGCCTGAATATGACGAACCGGTTTCCTATTTCCCGTAGGATAACGGAGTTTTGTGAAATCAAGAGCAGACGGCTCCCGCTTCTTAGATTTAGGATGGGGAGTCGCCTCTCGCCCTTGAACTGGCTTCCTCTTCAGTGAAGTGGAAGGTTTTTTGGCCGCCTGCTCTTTGACTGAAGCAGGCGGTTTTTTGTTGATCAACTCTTGGATCTCTCCCTTGAATCCCCTCATGAAGGTCATGAGTTCGTTCCTTGTGATGGGAGCAGACCCATCAGTCGGCTGTTGCCGAGCAAGCGGTGCGCCTGCTGGCTCGCTTCCTGTTTGAAGATACTCCCGTTCCCTTATTTCAGTATGACGGGTACGGCGGGCCCTTAGGGTCCCGTCTGGAGCTGTGTGAGTTTCAACTTCAAATTCACTTTCGGTATCATGGTCCGACTGAACTTGAGGGTCGTCTAGGGGACGCCTCTCTTCTGGGGTCGGTACAGACTTGGATGCCATCTCTGAAGTACTCTCCCCACAGACGGCGCCAAATGTTTTGGGGTTTTCTGATGTCCTGCGGGAGAGCTACAATTCCGAGACTGGAACCGGACGCCTGTACCTGCAAAATAACGGAGACTCCTGAGAGCTCCGCCTCCAACGGTCAAGTTAGTACCTGATTAAGGAGTAATCAATACAGAAATTAAAGTAATAAGGTCTCTCTAGGTGAGAGTATTTAATGTAGGTAATCTGCTTTGCTAGCGAGATCAGCCGGTTATTAGTGTGTTCCGTAATGTTTCTCCTCCGTTCCGTTAATTATTCCGTCCCTTGATTAATGAGGATTAATCGAGTATTTATAGCCTTGGGAAGCGTGCAACTCTCTAGGTTTAAGGTAAACCTAGGGCCGAACGGGCTTCTAGACTGAAATGGGCCTTGATGGCCGGTTGTCCCATTTGGCATGGGTGGACACGTGGCGTGTCTTAAGTGGTCCGTGGAGGACGCGTGGCGGAACCTGGTTGGTCCACTTGTCAAACGGCGCTTGGTGGATAAAAATCCCCTAATCAAAAACCATTTTCATTATCTCGACTCGTTTTAACCCAACCCTATCTGATTACAACCTATTAAAACCATACAAAACTAACCAAATCAAACCAACCCCCTAATTAACAAGAATGGACCCAAACCGACCCGCCAGCCGAATGAATCTGTACCAACGAGATCCAAAAAATCGAACCATCAACTTGCCCAAATGTTCCATAGTTTATTCCAAAAATTGTCTCATACGAGTATAGTCATATACAAATACAAATACAAATACAACGATAAGACAACGCCTTTCAATTTGTGTTTCAGCACAATCCCCTCATTTCTCTCTCTTCCTCCTCGTTTCTCCCCCCTTCTCCATCAATGGCGGCGTCTTCTTCCTCCCTCTTCAACCCTGCAACTTCCTCTCTCTTCCAAAACCCTAATTCCAAACTCACCCACCACCATCTTCCTCTTCGCCACCAACCCAAAACCACCCCCATTTTCACCCTCCCACCAATCACCGCCACCTCCTCTTCCTCCTCCTCCACCTCCACCCACCGCGCCGCTCACGAAAACATCCGCGAAGAAGCACGCCGCTATGCCAAATCCCACAATTTCTCCGCCAAATACGTCCCCTTCAACGCGCCACCTGACTCCACCGAGTCCTACTCCCTCGATGAGATCGTTTACCGCTCTCGCTCCGGCGGCTTATTGGACGTTCAACATGATATGGAAGCTCTGAAGCAATTTGATGGACATTACTGGAAATCCCTCTTCGATTCTCGTGTTGGGAAGACCAATTGGCCTTATGGGTCTGGTGTTTGGTCGAAGAAAGAATGGGTTCTTCCTGAGATTGATGGTGACGACATCGTTTCGGCTTTCGAAGGTAACTCTAATCTGTTTTGGGCTGAAAGGTTTGGAAAACAGTTTCTGGGTATGTCTGATTTGTGGGTTAAACATTGTGGGATTAGTCATACTGGTAGTTTTAAGGATTTGGGTATGACTGTTTTGGTTAGTCAGGTTAATAGATTGAGGAAGATGAAGCGCCCTGTTGTCGGTGTTGGGTGCGCTTCAACTGGTGATACTTCTGCTGCTTTGTCTGCTTATTGTGCTTCTGCTGGGATTCCTTCTATTGTGTTTTTGCCTGCTGATAAGATCTCTATGGCTCAGTTGGTTCAGCCCATTGCTAATGGGGCTTTTGTGTTGAGTATAGATACCGATTTCGATGGTTGTATGCAGTTGATTAGGGAAGTAACTGCGGAATTGCCGATTTATTTGGCTAATTCTTTGAATAGTTTGAGGCTTGAGGGGCAGAAGACTGCTGCAATTGAGATTTTGCAGCAGTTTGATTGGGAGGTGCCGGATTGGATTATTGTTCCTGGTGGGAATTTGGGTAATATATATGCCTTTTATAAGGGTTTTAAAATGTGCCATGAATTGGGGCTTGTTGATAAGATGCCGAGGTTAGTGTGTGCTCAAGCGGCTAATGCTAATCCGTTGTACGTGCATTACAAGTCCGGGTGGAAGGATTTTCAGCCTGTGAAAGCAAATACTACATTTGCTTCAGCCATTCAGATTGGTGATCCTGTATCTATTGACAGGGCTGTTTTCGCCTTGCAAAATTGTAATGGTATTGTTGAGGAGGCCACCGAGGAAGAACTAATGGATGCCATGGCTCAAGCTGATTCCACCGGGATGTTTATCTGCCCGCATACTGGTGTTGCATTGACTGCATTGATAAAGTTGAGGAATAGTGGTGTCATAGGACCAAATGATAGGACGGTTGTTGTCAGCACTGCTCATGGGCTGAAATTTACACAGTCCAAGGTTGATTATCATTCAAAGAATATCCCTGATATGTCTTGCAGGTTTGCCAATCCACCCGTGCAAGTGAAAGCAGATTTTGGGGCAGTAATGGATGTTCTTAAAGGATATTTGAATAAGACCCCAAAAGTTTAGGTGAGTTGGTCGCAATGTCTTTCTCTCATTCATGTATTAGTATTTTGATCTTGTACCTCTTTTTTTGGATGCTGCTTCCTATCGTCTTGAAGTTTATTTGACTGTGCATTCAATTATTGTGCTAAAATTCTGCCATTTTACGTGTTTGAACGGAGAATTTTATTCAGTGTAATCAGAGTTTGTAGACCACTAGCCTAACTGTTTGTTTTCCTAAATCTCTGTAGCTGTTCAATAATTCACTAGTCACTTGTTCCCTTCTTTTGTGTGTTTAGCTCTTTATCTTTCGTCGAGAGCTTATTGCCTTGCACTTTATCTTATCAATTTCCATCTTACATGTAACTCTGCTATTTTTAATATAGTTATTAAGTATGGTTATACTTTGTGTAGTTAGAGATAAGCCTATTGAATAGGATAAGTAGAGTTCAGTTGTTTATAGCAACCAAAGACATTAGTTGATATGATAATATTTATTGTATGCGTAATTTACTTCTAGTTGGGTTTCAGTTTGCAAATCCATAAGTTGTGCTACTTGTTACAATATAGAATTAGATACGGAGTTTGTAATTAAGAGTTTGTAGACCATTAGCCTAACTCTTTGTTTCCCTAAATCTCTGTCGCGGTGCAAAGGTTCACTAGTCACTTGTTTCCCTTCTTTCTTGTGTTTAGCTCTTCGTCTTTCCTTTAGAGCTTATTGCCTTGCATTGTATTTTATCAATTTTCACCTTACACGTAGCTTTGCTATTTTATTAAAGTTATTAAGCATGGTTTTACATTGTGTAGTCAGAGAAAAGCTATTACATAGGATAAGTAGAGTTCAGTTGTTTATATCAACCAATGACATTAGTTGACATGAAGATATTTATTGTATGTGTAATTTAATTTTGGATGGGTGTCAGTTTGCGAATCTGTTAATTGAGCTACTTATTGCAACATAGAATTAAACCAGGGCTTTGTAAGTAGGAACTCCTTTTATGTCTACAGCGAAGGTTAAATTATTACCAAAATAGAACTTTTAAAGGAATTGAAATTCTTGTGAAGCTAGGATGACAATTTTGTCAATAGCCTTAAACAAATCCATATGCTGGTGTCCTTTGCCTTTGTGTGTTATTATGGCAATTACGGTCTTTAAGGCCATGTTAGGAATTCAGATTTTCTAAAATACTAGCTCATTTATGATTTATGCTTTAGATTTTCATTGGAGTTACAAAGGTAATTTTGTTAGAATAAAATTGCCTGTAATTGAGGATGTGATTTTCAACTATCCAGGCTCTTTAGAGTTTCTTAGTGCGCTTGTTTTGCAACATCTAATAATCATTAATGTGGTTTTGCAAGTTGCAATAGTGTGTTTCCTACTTATTACTACCTCTATTTCAGAAAGTTCTAACACTATACTTTTGGCACTATTGACAAATTCCTTATGTTTTGTATTTACATAAAGGAAAATTATATATTCAAGTGGGGTCTTGATTTATTCGTCTCATTGTGTTTTCAATCTGTCATTTTTTAATTATTTTTGGGAAATTCTACATGGTGGCCTCCTAATTCTAATTTTTCTACATGAAAGACAAACCTTTTTTCAACTCTCTCAAGTGCACCCAAGTTTTGAAAAATCAAGTGTAGTGCCCTTTTTTGGGTTTTATGGTTAACTTTTTTATTTTTTTGGTTAACCATAACTAATTTTTTTTACAAAAAATCAAATTCTTCCAAAAAAAAAAAAAACCCTTAAAACCACCAATCACCCACCCATTCAGCCACCTGCTGAACCCCACAGGCGCTTGCCGCCGACACTAGCATTCACAAATCCCCTTCCCTGACGCCGGCGACTTCCCTGACCTCCCTTCCTTCTCTTTCCCAAACAACTGTAGCCCTATAAACCGACCCATACCCAATCCTGTAACCCTTCCCCATCCCTCAAAAATCCCAAAAACTCACCAAAAAAGTTTGGTTGCCCCTTCCTCTACACCTCGAAAAGGCCGACGCTTTCTGGTGTGTGGGGAGGAACGACCGAACTTTTCTAATGATTTTTAGGGGTTTTTGATTGGATCGGAATGGGTAGGGGTTACGGTGGTTAGGGAAGGGGAAGGGGAAGGGGAAGGGGAAGGGAGGGAGATCGGGGTGGCGTCGACGCTGGGGAGGTGATTTAGGCGTGTCGGCGTTAGGGCTAGTGGCGTTCGGCAAGTCAGGGGAGTCGCCGGCATTAGGGGGTCGGGGATCTGGGCGTGCTGGCGTTGGGGCAGTGGCTGCCATAAGTGGTTGCCGTGATTTTTTTTTTTTTTTAAAAAATAATTAATTAATTTTTTAGTTACTTATGGTTAACCAAAATGCTAAAAACATTAGCCATAAAACCCAAAAAAGAATGCTATACTTAATTGTTCAAAACTTGGGTGTCACTTAAGAGAGTTGGAAAAAAGTTTGTCTTCCACGTAGAAAAATTGGAACCAGGAGGCCACCATGTAGAATTTCCCTTAATTTTTTTATAGAAATATAATTAGAAATATTAGTGATAAAAGTTTTACCGTGGACCGTAGTAAGCTTGAGGAGATAAAGTATTAAATTTTTATTTTATAAATGGAGGTAATATAGATTATTGTGGGGGTAGGGAGGGTATAATTAGACTTTGAGAGCATTAGTGGTAAGGAGAGAACAACAATATGAGAAAATGGAGTGATGGGAATACAAAGAGGGATATTGTTAGAATGAAGACTCCCTCCACTTTATAGGGAAAAAAGAATTGTAAAGAGTGTTGGAAAGAAAAAGAGGAATGATGTCAAAATGAATTCTCCCTCCACCCATTTATGTTTACCCTTGTTTTCTTTTTAATCTGTCTCTTATATTTTTCTACTCCATTTTTGGTATGTTAAGCCCACTTGTCTCTCCACTTTATTCTATTGATTAGTGTAAAAAAAAAAAGAAAAAGAAAAAGAAAAAGAAAAAGAAAAAGTGAAAAATATTGCCTCACGTGCACAACCTCTGCCCAACTCTAAGTGAAGTGTGTTGCTATGGGCACACGGGCAAACATAAAGGGACAGAGGGAGTATATGATAGTCATGTTATTTTGCTGCCTGTAGGCTGAAAGTAGAGTGCATTTATTATTTGTTCCCTTTTATCTAAGTTGATAATTCTTGTTTTTAAAGGTCATTTTTTTTCTTGTTAACAAAAGTATGATCTGGCACTAAATTTAGATCATATGTAACTTGTTTCCCAACATAATTTTGGTTCTTAACTGCTGTATGCCTGTAAATATGTACTGCTCATTCATAGATGTGTGAGCGTAACTTAGGATGTGAACCTTTTATCTAAAGAAATGCAATGCTAACTGTGAGTCGTTGGATATAAATCGGTCATGTTTTCTTTGCTTTATGTATTTTCCCTTCATTGATATGTAGCTGCTATCGTTGGATATAAATCGGTCATGTTTCCTTTGCTTTATGTATTTTCCCTTCATTGATATGTAGCTGCGAGATGAGCTGTATGTCTCGTGAAGTTTTGGCAAAATTGATGCTGGATGTAGCTTGGATGAGAGCTAATAATTCTATTTCAAAATTGCAGCTTACCTGCTTTAATTTGTACTTTCTCTGTTTTTGTTGAAGCTCAACATGAGCTATTTTCACTGTTCATACACACTCCTATAACCATTTTTAGTGATTTATATGATTTTGTTAGATTAATTTAGATGTACTTTATAATTTTAGCTTTATATAATTTTGCTAAAATATAGTGAAAGAAATGAATGGTATTAGATGTGCATCGGCAAGCGTGAAAATGCCAATATTGTAATCAAAAGAGAATGGAGGAAGTATTACTTAATGGCAATTCTAGTCATCTATGATTGATGTTTTTGATTAATTAGCCTCCTCCCCCATCTTTGTGCTTATTGGTCCTTGGCTTGCTAATTCTCTTGCTCTTTAATGAATGAAGTTAAATTAATTATTATGTAGTCTTAGTTATTCTGTACTTCCAATAGGCACACATTATTGATTAGATATTATCTAGGAGCAGATGCTTACATCCTCCAATGAGGCCATTCCATTCTGGTGTTTCCATATTGAAACAAATGCCTTCTATAGTTCTGTTAGCTCTCCATTTCATCTTAAAGTAATATTTATTTGGTGACAAAATGGCATGATGCCTGCAATGGCCTTTTATCTGGAGTTGGTTAGTCCCAGAATGGTTGGAGAATGTTATTTTTATTGGAAGTTTTGTGTTTGAAGGCAACCTAGGAATAACTGAAGTTCAGATTTTCTTGAGTTGGTGGTCTGAGTTTTGGGCTAATATGTAGCTCTTCTAATTGCCTATCATTTGGGCATGCAAATCCCTTTATTTTTCCTTGGAGTTATTGTAGTTCTTTTTTTGTTCCTTGGCTATAGAAGTTTCTACTGATGTGCTGTCTCTGTTACTGAACTTTCACATTTATATGATACTTTTTAGAAAAGATGCCCCTTATTGAGGACTATCAAGTAATATTATTGTCCGGGCTACTTATTATCATGGGGTCAAAACTATTATCTAATATAGTAGCTTGAAGCTGCAGGTCAGTAAAACAGCGATGAAGTGAAACGTTGCTGTGGATATGGCAGTGATGATTAAGCAGATTTGCGGAGAGATTTGCTGTCGACATTGTGGACCTTTGGTCTGTAATTTTGTTGCAGAATTTGTGCTGAGAAATGGAATACCTAGCCCTTAAAAGACGGTTAGAGAAGCTCCAATTTGGTGCTTCTGTCCTAGAATCTATTTTTGGAATCTTTGTAAACTATTTTTGTATTTCTAGAGAAACCCCTGTTTAGCTTAAGATGTGTTTCTCAAGCTGAGAATTACATCCAAAAGTTTGGCTAAACAGCTCGCTCCTAAATTATAATTGAATGGTTTTACTTTTGCTGAACTACAAATTTTGTCTGCTGCAAATAACAGTTGCTTTGTAGTTTGTACTATATAACACCTAAGATGCTACTCATTTGTCTTTGTAGTTGTGTTTTAGTATGGTACTACTGATTCTACTTTTCACAATAATCAATGAAGCTGTTTATAAAGCGGTTGTAATTCGACTTTGGTCAATATTTTTGTCGTTTGATTTAAAAGATTTTAAATTTCACCATCATTTAAAAAAACACCCACAGCTCAATTAGATAGAATTTTAAACAAGTGCAAGGAAAATTATATTTTATCACCCATAAATAACCCTTTTATTTATTTTTATTTTTTTTAAAATTACCACCCAAAAGAAATTTGTTTTAAAATACCCCTTAAAAATGACAAAAAAAATTAGATTTGACCATTATTTAACACTTTGGGTTAAAAAAAGTCGATAAATTTATTTATTTTTTTTTTAAAAAAAAAAAAATTGATTATTGTGCCAAAAAATGTTCTTTAGAGGTTTTGGGGTCCTTTTTGCCATTTGATTTTGAGTTCAGGTTAAAATTTACAAAACAACATAAAAAAATGTCTTGTTTTGCAGACTAAAAAAACCTCGGTCTCCGTGACATGTGCAACAAGGGGCATTTTCGATTTTTTTTTTTTTTTTTTTGTGTGTGTAAAATTTAAGCTCAAATCGAACTTAAGAGACAAAAATGACTTCCAAAACCTCTAAAGAACATGTTTTTTGGCACAAAAATCAAATTTTTTTTTTTAAAAAAAAGGAAACATGGTTAGAAATCACCTTTTATAACAATTTTTTTTGTGAAAAAACACCTTATAAAAATTTTCTTGTAAAAACACACCTAAAACTCTTTTTTTTTTCGAAATAATACCTTAACCTGGTTTCAAGGCTTTGACCTTGTTTACCGGTGTTGACCTTCACGTGTGGGTCATGTGCTCAACCCCTCCCTCCTCAAAACCACCAAACCGCATCCTAACCAACCCCAACCACCAACATCACCACCTAGCCGCCATTAGAACCACCTCTCAGCCGCCGACACCACCACCCATAACATAGCCGCCATCACCACCTACCTAAATCACTTTTAACCCATCGAATAAATCCCTTTTCTTTCTTTTTTACCCTTTTCCTCTTTCAATTAGATTTTCTCACTCCTCTATTCTTCCTAGCAACCCTTGATTTTTTCAATAGAAGGGAAAAACTCCATTGTTTTGCTCGAATTGTTGCAAAGAACAACCTCAAATAATCTATTTTTGAGGTAGGTAAGTTGTTAATGATAATAAAATTGATTCTTTGTTGTTAATTTTGTTGAATATTTTTTTTTACCTTAGATCTAGGGTTTGCAATTGGGGGAAAAAGTTTGGGGGGGGGGGGGGGGTGGGGGACTATTACCTACCCTCTAGTTGTTTTTGGGGGAGGGTACACTTTTCCGGGTGAATTTGGGTAGTTTAGGGTGGGACGTGAAGGTTGTGGAGGTGGGTGAGGATATTTGTAGGCGGGTTTAAAATGATTTGGGTGAGCGGTGATGGCAGCCAGGTTGATGGGTGGTGATGTCGGCGGCTAAGAGGTAATTCTAGTGGTGGTGTCGGCATTTGGGGCTGGCTATGCTATAGTATGGGTGGTTTTGTGAAGGGAGGGGTTAAGCACGTAACCCTCACGTGGGGGTCAACACCGGAAAAAAGGGTCAATGCCTTGAAACCAGTCTAAGGTGTTATCTTGCAAAAAAAAATTCTGGTTTTAGGTGTGTTTTTACAAGAAATTTTTATAGATTTTTCACAAAAAGAGTGTTATTAAAGGTGGTTTCTTATAATTTTTCCAAAAAAAAAAACGTTATATTTAACAGATATTTGGTGGTGAAATCCATTTTATTTATTATTATTTTTTTTGGTGGTATTTGAATATTAATTTTTTTTTAGTGGTAAAATACGAAATTTCCTAAGTGCAATTGCTAACAAAAAGATACACCATACAAGATATAACTGTCTTAAACTAGGTAACGTTTTCATATCAACTATTATTTCTTCAAAAACTTTTGTATACATCCGGTTTACACTAATATTAGTGTACATCGAGCAGTATAAGGGTAACTTTAGCTAATTTTAGGGTAATTTTTTGTCTTTTTTGGATAACTTTAAACATAATACAATTTTTATATAAATCAACAACAAGAAAAGTTTTATAAGGGTAATTTAATTACATTCAATCACTAATAGTTGATTTTTAGTCATTTAAAATTTGATTCTTTACTAATAAAGCGTAGATAATTTTTATTTGGATTGGGTTATTTTAACTCATTTCAGGGGTAACTTTTATTCATTTCAGGGGTAACTTTTAATCACTTTAGGTTATCTTTATAATGGATGTACAATAATCATTGTATACCCGATTGTTTTAAAAATTTGTGTTATCTCTTATGGTTAGAGTCAATTTATACATAATGTTTTAGTATGTAATACAAAGTTCAAAGAAGCAGTAAAAAAAAAAGGAAAAAAAAAAAAGAAACAAGAAACAAGATCTTGTTTGACATTGTTTTTTGTTTTCAGTTTTCAGTTTTTTTGAAAACAAAAAACCAAAAACAGGAAACAAAAAAAAGGTGTTTTTACTTTTCTGTTGTCAGTTTTCAAAATTAGTATGATTTAAATAATTTTGACTAATTTTTTATTCATTATATGACATATGTCATATACTTTTAAAATACAAAAAACCAAAAAACTAAAAACCGTAACAATGCCAAACGAACCCTTCATTATTGAATTGTCATTACATAGTAACTAACTCGAGCTAATCCAAGATTAATTGATAAAACTCAATTACATAAAGATAAACACCTACTAACTATTTTACCTCCCAGTTGAGATTGAAACTGTTTAGATCATATACCTTCAAGGCTCTCTCTAGACCAAAAAAATCAATGCTACCAACTCATAATTTACTTGAAATATAATTAGGAGGCTCAAATCATAGACTTCAAAATTCAAAGCTTATAGTCCTCCGCATGAGATAACATGGCACAAAATCTCCAAACAAACATATCCCATTAAACCAAGATCTTAGTGTTTACCTAAAGCGCCCTACATCAAATGGCAATAAGTTATCAATGCCAAACTTTTCACATGAATTCTCTTCTCATTTAAAAACTCTTTAGTGATTCTCATCAACAACCATGGCATACTTGTTAGTCGTTGCTGTCTCACAGTGATGCTGTTGCTTCTTCATTTTTTTCCCTATTGGTACCATTTCCAAACCACCTCTGTTTGTCCCTTTATGCATTGAACTTGTGGAGTATTTATTTATCATCAACAGGAATAGGATTCTTAAACCAAGAAACTTGGAAGTGCGATAAATTTCTTATGAAACATGAATTTCAGGGGATATCTGCATGTTGGAGACAATGCCTGCAGGCAAACGTTAAGCAAGGTTGTTAGACTAGACTCCTAGACACTTTCTATCTAAACAGTAGAAGTTAGCTAGAAAAAGTAGATGGTAGCCAAATCGATGAGGGTGTAGGGACGGGGGAGCTACTTGCTAATGTTGTACATCATGGAATTTAAGAGAACAGTGTAGAAATAAGGTTAATGCTAAAGACAATAACCATATAACTCATCAAGAAATGATATCCAAGGCGATGTTGCATAAGAGAAAAGGGGCTTAAATATTTTATATTACATTTCTAAGGCAACAACAAGATATAGGCTGTACCCTATTCACTAGGTTACTGCCCCTACTGTAAAAATCACTGAAACCTGATCACTATCAGTCTTCATGAAGCTGTCGTCCTCTTCAATCTACATTTCCCTTTATAGAATGACCAATATTCTGCATTAATATCACTTATTTCAACTGACACGGTACAATTACCCATCAACCCCATAACAATATAACAATAATGCAGCTCTAAACTTTAACACTATATTATGGTCATGAAGTCATGTTATTCTCCCACATCATTCTGCCCTATTTTTGCTGCTACTCCACAAATTCTTACATTTTGTTACAATACGTCATCAAATCTACAGTTTGTTGAAAAGGGATTAAACCACTAACTAGGCTTCTTTGGAGACTATTTTAATGCTTAATGGTCAATCAACAGTGACAATGCAGAAGACTAACCTACTGACAAAGTTCAGCAGCAATCGTCCGCAATATGCAGTGTTTCCTGCTTCTTCAATGGCAGTTTTTACTAGTGTTTTGAGATTAACTCAATTAACCTGCAAGAAACAAGGTATTACCAGTTCAGAGAATATATTCCTAGGACAGCAGAAGTATTCTCTAAGTAGCAAGCCAGGAGTAAGGAATAAAATCATATTGGAGGAAGCTCTTGAATCATGTTAAGTATAATAAAAGTGACAGGACAATGGCAGTATAGTGTAGACAACTTATCTAACAATCATGGAAAGGTAAAGGCTACAATTGGATGAGTAATTTCCTAAAAAAAAAAAAAAAGGAAAATGATAAGCAACAATGTTTTTAGCTTATGAGCGGTGCTAATACTCTGACAACATTAAATCTCATTAAGGATCTAGAGGACGGCCAGTGCATATCTAGACATATGATTGTTACCACTCAAGGTATATACTGCAAGCAACATATTGGATGAAGCACTTGTCATATAGACTCGAGAGCATACGTAGTAAAAATAAGTCTAGCAAGAAGCAGATGACATACTTTAAAGCATGGGAAATGGATATCGACTCAAAGCTTTTGAAATAGGTTCAGCAGCAAGCAGGCTGGCTGACTTGAATTGCTATTGCAAATCTCTACTCTGTAGTTATCCTTATTTAAAGGTTAGTTTCATAATATGCAAAAATATGGATTAACAAGTCCAACTTTCCTTTTCCATCCATGGCTAAGCGCCTGAAGTGGTTTTAATCAGCAACAATGCTATATGCACATTTGAACTTTTTCAAGATTGACCAGAGGGCTGTACGGGATGCTTGAAGGTTATAAAGGGTTCCTAAGGTGTCCAAGACATATCTACACTGTCTTGAGAAAACCTTTTTCGCTCTTTGAAGTCCGGCATATTGTATTCGGGTAGTGGACCTTTAATCTAGGAAGTGCCCATCAAGTTTGATAATACCAAAAAAAAAAACATAAAGAGCTTAAACCACCTCTATAAATTGCTGAACAACAAATCTCAAATCATGAAGAAAGGAAAACACCTGCAATGTCTTACAATGATCATAATACCAGTAACCTTTTTCGTGTTTCTTAAAAAGTTAGAAACATCAATGCATACATTAAGATTAAAAATTCTATTTAAATGTTAGACTACTCTTTACTCGTAAGGAATCCAATAACCAGTCTCGGAATATACTATATAGGAGTACAAACAACAGTAGCTACATAAGCAAGTCTGCAGGATTCTGATGAGGAGGTCAAAATGTAAGCAATCTTACCTTTACCAATGCAGGACTTAGCAGAGAAACCTTTTTGATAAATCCTCATTATGGATAGGTAATAGCACATCCCACATTCAACTCTTTATCAGACTGATGATCATTTTTGCAATATTTATACCAAACATTAGATTTTCACTGATATATTAAATGGGATGATGGGATAAGTTTCCAGATAGGACATCAGGATGCCCGTCATGCTGATTTAGCCAGCTCGATCCTTCTTGTTTTGCAAGTTTTCTTCTTTTCATCTGTGATCTTACTCTTGAGACGTCATTCCATCTTCCAGCTGAAGCATAAAGATTAGACAATAAAGTGTAAGCTGCACTGCAATGTGGGTCTAGATCAAGTATGTACTTTGACACTCTTTCAGCTATTTCAATATCAGAGTGTGTTCTACATGCATTAAGTAGATTTAACAGAACCAGAGAATTTGGCTTAATTGGCATATTATTGATAAAGTCTTCTGCTTTATCTAGTTCCCCAGATCGGCACATGATATCCACCATGCAAGCATAATGCTGAACATTCATTTTTAACAAAGAATACTTGGTGAAAAACTGGAAAAATCGTTTCCCTTTCAGGAACACTCCAGAATGACTAGCAGCATTCAGCAACCCAGTGAAAGTGATTTCATCAGGTTCAACCCCTGCGCGTAGAATCTGTGCAAACAATGTAAACACCCAATTAGCACACCCATGCTGCGCACTCCCAACAATGATCGAGTTCCAGGATACAAGATTTTTCACTCTTATTCCTTCAAATGCTTTTAGTGCATCTAGAATGCCCCCACATTTAGAATACAATGTAACAAGTGAATTCCCCACAAATGCAGAAGCCTCAAATCCCAGTTTAATAGCTTCTGCGTGAACAACTTTCCCTATATCAAGAGACGTAAGTGCACAGCAAGAATTCAAGACACTAGTGAAAGAAGACTCGTTAGGTAAAATTCCCAATTTGATCATGTCAGTAAATATTGTCAATGAATCATTATGCATCAAATTCAAATTATATCCTGTTAAGAGGGAAGTCCACACAACCACGCTGTCATGCACATATACCCTAAAGATCTTGCTAGAATTTTCTGGTTGCTTACAAGTTGCGTAAAATGTTATTAAAGAAGAAGTTATATACTCTTCATCCACGCACCCCAGCTTCACAATGCGCGCATGAATCTGTGTACCAAGCTCAATAGCCCTTGAACTGGCACAAGCTGTTATCAGACAAGGAAATATACTTGCTGATGCTGAGGGCTCGATCCCATCACCGACCATCCGCTTAAATACACTCAAGGCATCAACACTTCTCCCAACTTGATCAAGCCCACTAATCATCGAAGTCCACGATATAACATTCCTACAGGGCATCTCTTCAAACACCTTAACAGCCTCACCAACTCTACCATTGCTAAAATAACCATAAACCATAGAATTCCAAACAGCAACATCCTTAAAAGGCATTTCTTTGAACAATCTTTCAGCCAACTCTACATACCCAAATCGCATATACCCACTAATCATCGTCGTCCACGAAATAACATTTCTCTCAGGCATTTCATCGAATAGCTTCCGACCCATGCTCAAATCACCACAATCTAAACACCCTTTAACAATTGAATTCCAAGCAATGGTATCTCTAACAGGCATTTGATCAAACAGGTGGAGTGCATCATTTAGCCTACCATATTTAGAATGATTAGTGATCATCTTTGTACACATAGTTACATCGGAATACGAAATCGTACCGAAAAACCGAGTAACCCTGTGTAATCTTTGGCATATTAAGTGATCAGGAATAATCCAGCTGAAATTAGTTGCCTTATATAGCCAAAAACTCATCTTCCCCAAGAAAACCCAAGTTTTTATCTGACCCATAACAGAAATGTACATGAAAATGATTTTATGCACAAATTGGGGAGTACATGATTTTATGTGAATTTGAATTTGTGCACAATTTGGTGGGAAATGTTTGCATAATTTGATCGAGGTGATTTGCTAAGCAAGTGTCATAGGCTCGTGAAAACATGAACTACTCAACTAAGGTAGTGTTAAGTGGGGGGAATGATGGACCGCTACCCGATATAGGTCACCTCGTCCAATATCGAGCCCCAATCCTTGTTTCTTTAATTTTTTTTAGGTTTATAATAATATTTCTAAAGAATTTTTCTCCCTCGAAAGAATGGGTTTCCGATCTCCTTTGAAAGAGAAGGGTTTTTCGACCTCCTTCGAAAGACAAGGTTTATCTCCTCTTTTCGAGGTAGCAGATCTAATGGATTGCCGTGAAATTATTTTGTTGGTGAAAAAGTTATCAAGTTTTCGAATACGAACATATGAATCAGAAGGAAAACATCCTCACGGCTACAAAGGATCATTAGATTGTCTCTCCAAAAAAGCTGTAATTTTCAGCGATATAAGCGGGAGATGTTGTATATGTGTGTGTGTGTGTCGCGTCACGTTGGGTAGATTTAAATAGAGTTCATAAGATGAAAAAAGTTAGTTTAGAATTATATTTGGATAGAAATTTATGCTAAAATTGTTAGTTTAGAGTTTTATTTTTGACAAAATACCAATATTTCAAATGTACAAATTGAATTATAATTTTATTCAAAAAAATTATTAGATTATAATTCACAACAATTATCATATAAATTTATTTTTTATATCATAACATTTTTTAGAGCGAAGGAATAGTTCAAAGCGTAAAACATCCATTTATTAAATAATATACTTCACTATCTAATAAAATTTTATTATTATGTAGACCTGTCAATTAGGGTTGGGTCATGAGTCATCTCGGATTGGATCACTTCAGGTCACGAGTCAAGAAATGTTCAACCCTTGCCCAAAGTTTTGGGTTCGGGTCAATCTAACGGGTTTTGAACATTTATTTTATTTAATTTATTTTTTGCTGATGTTTTTGTTTTTTTAATGTATTAATTCGAACATTTCCACCAAACTTATTGTTAGTCATTACATGCCTACTAGATATCAAATTGTCACAAAATCACATCAATTTCTAACTAATTTTGTATCAATGATATATTTTAAAATTTGACATATAGATTAAATATTAATCTTAAAATACAATTAACAACCCGGGCGTTGCACGGGGGACAAAATTAGTATATCATATCATATAACTAATATATAAAGCTAAACTTTTAGCCATGTCACGAGACAGTGACACTTAGCGTTCCAACTTCTCACCAAGTGTCACGCCACATAGGATAGACTTTAATAGACTTTACAAGATAAAAAAGTTAGTTAGAATTCTATTTGGATAGAATTACAAATTGAATTATAATTTTATTCAAAAAAAAATAATTAGATCATAATTCTAATATAGTTCAAAGTGTAAAACATCCATTTATAATGTATACTAATCGGCTAAACTAATATGAGTACTTCACAATTTAATAGAATTTTATTACTATGTAGACCCATCAATTAGGGTTGGGCCACGAGTAATCTCAAATTGGGTCACTTCAGGTTATGAGTTAAGAAATGTTCAACTCTTGCCCAAAGTTTTAGGTTCGGATCAACCCAACGGGCTTTGAACATTTATTTCATTTAATTTATTTTTTGCTATTTTTTTATGTGTATTAAATCAAACATTTCCCCACCAACATTATTATTAGTCATTATATGCCTATCAGATAGCAAATCGTCAAAAAAGCACATCCAATTCCTAACTAATTTGTATCAATGATATATTTTTAAATTTGATATATAGATTAAAAATTTATCTTACAATTCAATAAACAACCCGGGCATCGCACGGGGCACAAACTAGTATATATATACTAGATTAGTGCTCGTGCATCGCACGGTAGTAATAACTTTTTTCCATAATTAATTTGTGATATAATATTAAAAAAATAAGACAATTCATGTGAAATATACAAATGCAATGTGTATAAGAAAATTGAAATAATGACAAATTATTAAATTTAAATTGAGAAAAAAATTATTTTTGACTTGCTGTGTTGAAAATATTTAAAAGTATTATACATTATATTGCATTAATAATGCATGTTTTTCCAAAAATAATTATACAATATGCTTTTAAAAAAATACGCTAAGTAAATTACTACCTCCGTTACATATTATTTGCAACAATTAGACATTTACCCTCTCTACTTTATGTCAAATCGTTGCAAATAATGTGTAACGGAGGTGGTAACAAAAACCAAAAAACATTAAAAAAAAAACAATGACATCATACATTGTTTTGGTGGGAAAATTTTTAATGATAGTTTAACGTGTGTCAAAAATGATGTAAGCAGGTTCTATTTTAGTATTAGTTAATAGATATGTAGGGTAAATAATAGTACTTAATGAATCAATAACAATATTTGATAAATTAATAACAGCACCTTAATTTAAAATAACTATTTTTAATAATACACTGATTTTTACTATAATTCGATTTGATAATTACTTAAATGACTTTTATTGGTACTAGTTATTTAAGGATTTATGTCTTCGTCGTGTGCAATTACTAGATATATAAAAGGATCAAATTATGGAGATAATTAAGTTCGGACATTTGAATCGTCGTTTTATCATAGCTAAAGGTACCAACGATTTTCGGGCTAGTAAATTAGCCCAAAGCCCAATTGGACGGATCCTACATGGTCGCACAAAGGGTCTAGATCGGGCACGAGAGGACGAGGCCCATGATGGGCCTCATCCCCTAGTATGGTCGGCCACATGGAATGGGTTGAAGGGTTTTGGGCTTCCTAACCCTAGTCTAATTATAATGTGATTATAAATAGACTAGGTGCCCAGGATTTGCAGAGTAAGTAGTTCAGTGATCAGTGTGATCAAACCCGAATTAGCAACCACGAGACCAACCCCTCTCAAACTCCTCTCTCTCACGACACCCTCTCTCCTCCTCGGTGCCAGTTCTGGTGGTTCGTGGTGGTCGGCTTAGTCCATTAAAGGTGGTAACGCGGTTTTCCTCAATCATTCGACCAATCTATTATTAGTGGTCGGCTCGTTCGAAGCTCGTGGACTAAGTAGAGGAGCAACGCTTGGGGCTCTATTCTCTCCTTGATTTGTCAATCAAATTGCTACGTGGAATTCACGCTTCAAAGGTATGTTTACGTGTCTTGTGTGTTATGCATGTGATCTTGGGATTAGGTACTTGATTGAATATGTATCATGATTTTCCGCTGCGTAGTACATATAAACTCCTACAGTGGTATTAGTTAGCCTCTTGCATGAACACGCTTAATCATATTAATACGATTAATTTGAAGTCCATGTTAATTTTATAATCAATTAAGAGGGAGAAATTAATTTAATTATGGTTCAATTATTATATTTAATGTGATTAAACTTTTGGAATTGATTAAATGTGATTTAATTATGCTCAAAATAGCCATGAAGAGGACTGAATTAAGCCCTAGAGTATTCAAAAATTTTGAACCATAGAACCCTAGTTTGATTTTTTCGAAAAACCCTAACCCTAATTTCGAATTATTTCGAAAATCATAGCCCTAGAATATGATTTTTGTGCTTGATTTTGATTTAATTCAATTTGTTTTATGTTTCATAATTTTAATTGGATTGATTTATGCATAAAAATATTTTGTGTATGATCATCAATTTAATTTTAAGCGTTAGAATTAAATTGGGATTTATTTAATGATGAACCCTAATTTTAAAGTTGAATGTAGATTTAATTTTAATTTTAGATTGATTTGATTTAATTTTTATAAAATTTATTTTAATTAAATTAAAAAAAAGTCTTAAGGCTAGCAGCCGCGGCTGGGTGGCGCAGCAACGGCGGCTTCCGACCAGATGGTGGTCCAAGAGGGAGGGGAAGAGGAGGACGGCGGTCCTGGTGGCTGGGGCAGCAGCTGTGCAAGCGTTGCACACTGCTGCCGTGGCTGCCACTGCTACGGGGTGCTGCTGCCTTTGCAGCAGTGGCTACTGCAAAGCAGCCATCCACCGTGGCTAGGAAACCACGGTGGCTAGCAACCGTGCAGTACGATTTTTCAAAAAAAAAATATTCTGTTTTTTGAAAATATTTCAAGATAATTACAAAATTATTTTGGGATAAAATCGGTTTTATTTTAGATAAAATCTTTTGTTTTAGGATAAAATTAAACATTCCAAAGTTGTTATATTTGATATTATCCATATTTAAAGTTGTTAAATTGATAATTATCCATAATTATAGTGGTTAATTTTGGATAAGATTGATTAGGATATTATGAGCATATTCCAAAAAGTTAATAATTTATTTAAATAATGTGATTATCCCATAATTATATTAGGATGTAATTGATTTTAAAATTATTTGATTGCCTAATAATTAGGATAGAATCTCCTTAAGTTGTTAGGATAATCATGGAAGATTAAATATGATTTATCTTTCTAGATTAAAATAAGATTTGATTTTATCTCATGCCTAAATTAAAATATATGATATTTAATGATTGGTCATGAATAATACTCGTATATGATATAATCTAATTATGATTTAAAATATGAGATATTTTAGGAAATGCGTTGCATTAATTATGAACATTCAATGTTGTAGTTTAGACAAGCATGTTGAGTGATTTATTATATGGCATTTTATATAATATATGATATTATGTTGTTATATATAGACTAGTGTGACCCATAGATTTTAAAATACGATTTGCGCATCGTGATGTATTTTTGTAATCTAAATATGGTCTGCGTACCGTTAAGTATTTTTTGTAACTTTTATTTAAAGTAAATAGATTAGTTATTTAAATAGTGTTAGTCTAAAGAAGCCCATGAAGTGAAGGCCCAAAGGAACAGGGTGGATGGAGATCCATGATGATTCAAGTGAGAGCTTTTCATTTCTAGTTTTCTTAGGACTAAGGGGCCATACTATGTCATGTTATATTGTAATAGTAGATTATGCATGTTAGATTCTATTTATGCTAATTGATGATGCGCTAGAGTTCACTAAATAATCAAAACATAAATGATCTAGGTCCTAGTAATATTGAGATTGCTTTTCCAATTAGATACCCAACAATCCTTGAATAGTGAGTGATAGGTCAGCCTCCGCAAAGTGTCACTTGTTATTTTAGGTATTGTGGGGTATATCATGTTCTACATATTTAATTGGTTATGCTCAACAAGGTTACCTAAAACGTTTAGAACCTTGAAGCAAAGGGTAATAATTAAACGTGCAATGGTTAATTATTCAACTAAGAGTTATAAGAGTTGTAATCATTAAAGAGTTTACTCACCTTGAAAATGTAATGCTTGATGGTAGGGCCTCAGTCCGGTCAACTATTACACAAATAAAGGATCTTGGAATCCCTTAAAATTCAATAGGGATCAATTAATGTTGAATAAAGTGTTTCAAAGATACCTAATTAATTCGTTTATGGTACTTTAAATTTTAATTAAACATAATTATTAAACTTTGCCTTATTTTGACATAGATGGGTAGCCGTAACAATGATGACAATAATTCTTTACCACCAACAATGAAAAAAAGGCTTAATTTTCTCAACTTCAACGATTGGGAAAGCGAATTTAGAAGTGTTCTAAGGA